TATGGTGGCATGTGCCTGTAGTCCCAGCTACTCAGGAGACTGAGGCAGGAGAATCTCTTGAACCTGGCAGGCAGAGGTTGCAGTGAGCTGAGATCGCGCCACTGCACTCCAGCCTAGGTGACAGAGCAAGATTCCATCTCAAGAAAAAAGAAAAAAAAAAAAAAAACTGAGGGTGACTATTATCATGTCAGGCAAGAATTCACAATGCAAGGATATAAGGTGATACCCAGCTCACAGTACAATCTCACAGTACCGTATTTACATTGCCCAAGTAGTGATGAATACAGAAGAGAAGCTTAACTTGTTGTTAAATGGATTTTTATTCTATAAACTATACACACTATTCCAGATTATATTAAAGTTCATGTGACATTGTTAGTGAATGAAAAATTAGATGTTTTCTATTACTCAGCAATTTGAACAGTAAGTAAGAATTAACAGGAGAAGGGAAAGTGGTAGAAAAAAAGGATCTCTGTTTCTTCAAAAGTACATGGTAACATCAAATTGAGCTGAACACACTTGTGTCTCAGGAGGCTCGAGTTTTTCCAGGAAGGAAAATGCCCATGCAAACAAGTTTACCCTAGTGTTTTTCACGTTCCTCCTGGTGTTGGATTTGTCAGAATGTTATTAATGCAGCATAACACAACAAATGTACAAGACTCAGGACCTCCATTTGACTACTGTTTAAGTTGCTCATGCCTCCAATGGTCTGTCTCTGGAAGCAGACTTTTTAAATTAAGTCATGTGCAGTTTTCTTAGAAACCATACAAGAGCAGTTTCTAAGGTGGTCTTAAAAGATCTTAACATTGAGTATGAATGATAGGAAATTTCAGCTATTACTTAAGATTGTGATTAGGTTATCAGGTAATGATATACTTTCTATATTCCTTTTAATTTTCTTATTTTAGAATCTTTGAGCTAAATTTTTTAATCCAGTGTATTTGATTTTATAAAATGATATAGCCCTAATAATGTTGGCTTTGAACAGTCAGTTTAATTTATAAGTTGATAGTTTTTCAAGGGGTGTTAACCTCAAGAATCTGTCTGTGCCTCTCTGGGAATTAGCAACAAAGCAGCAAATTATAACTACACGGCCAGTGGATCCCATTGGTGTGGAGCTGTTTGCATCTGAGAATCTAGAGCTCCATCTCTATTCTAACAGCACCATCACTTGGAAGGTGGAAAATTTTAGTTAGTCAGTACTTAAAAAAAAATCTAAGTTTGTTTTGTTTTGTTTTGAGATGGAGTCTTGCTCTGTCGCCCAGGCTGGAGTGCAGTGGCATGCAAGCTGGGCTCACTGCAAGCTCCGCCTCCCGGGTTCACGCCATTCTCCAGCCTCAGCCTCCTAAGTAGCTGGGACTACAGGTGCCCACCACCATGTCTGGCTAATTTTTTTTTGTATTTTTAGTAGAGACAGGGTTTCACTGTGTTAGCCAGGATGATCTCAAACTCCTGACCTTGTGATCCTCCTGCCTTGGCCTCCCAAAGTGCTGAGATTGCAGTCGTGAGCTTTTTTTTTTTTTTTTTTTTTAAGAGGGAGTTCTGGAGTGCAGCGGCACAATCTTGGCTCACTGCAACCTCTGCCTCCTGGGGTCAAGTGATTCTCCTGCCTCAGCCTCCCGAGTAGCTGAGATTACAGGCATGCGCCACCATACCCAGCTAATTTTTTTGTTTTTTTAATTTTTAGTAGAGATGGGGTTTTGCCCTGTTGGCCAGGCTGGTCTCGAACTCCTGACCTCAGAGGATCCGCCCGCCTCAGCCTCCCAAAGTGCTTGGATTACAGACGTGAACCACCCGCGCCCGGCCAAAAAAATCTAAGATTAATCTTTACTATGGCAAGCTAGTGTGACTGACTTTTCAACCAAACAGATTGGTCATATCAGTTAAAACACTTAAATTTTTTCCTTTTTTTTTTGCCTCAGCACAGGGGACTTTATTCATGGCATACAACAGGGTGAGGCTCCCTAGAACCCTCCCTCTTCAGGGTGTCTGTGTGGCCATTGTGTGGAGGGGAGATTCTCAGCATGGTAAGGGACTGAGTATGGACAGGGACTCCCAGCAGCTGAGGGTCTCCCTCTTCCTTACATGATGTCACTGGGGCTGGTGGTCCAGGTATCTTACTCCTTGGAGGCCATGTGGGCCGTGAGGTCCACCACCATATTGCGGTAGCCAAATTCATTGTCATACCAGGAAATGAGCCTGACGGAGTGGCTGTTGAGGGCATTGCCAGCCCCAGCATGGAAGATGGAAGAGTGGGTGTCACGGTTAAAAGTTGAAGGAGACAATCTGGTGCTCAGTGTAGTCCAGGATGCGTTTGAGGGGCCCTCTGACACCTGCTTCACCACTTTCTTGATATCCTCATATTTGGCAGGTTTCTCCAGATGGTAGGTCAGGTCCACAACTGACACATTGGCAATGGGGACATGGAAAACCATGCCAGTGAGCTTCCTGTTCATCTCGGGGATGACCTTGCCCACAGCCTTAGCAGTGCCAGTAGATGCAGGGATGATGTTCTGGAGAATCCCACAGCCATCAATTCACAGTTTCCCTTGGGACCATCCACAGTCTTCTGGGTGGCAGTGATAGCGTGTACTGTGGTCATGAATCCTTCCATGATGCCTAAGTTGCCATAGATAGCTTTGGCCAGGGGTGCTAAGCAGTTGGTGGTACAGGAGGGATTGCTGACGATCTTGAGACTGTTGTCATACTTCTCATGGTTCATGCCTATATGAACATGGGGGCCTCAGCAGAGGGGGCAGAGATGATGACCCATTTGGCTCCCTGCTGCAAGTGAGTCCCAGCCTTTTCCATGGTCGTGAAGGTACTGGTGGACTCCACAATGTACTCAACATCAGCATTGCCCCATTTGATTTTGATGGGATCTCGCTCCTGAAAGATGGTGATGGGATTTCCATTGATGACAAGCTTCCCATTCACAGCCTTGATGGTGCCGTGGGATATGCCATGGGTGGAACCATACTGGAACATGTAGACTATGTAGTTGAGGTCAAGGGAGAGGTCATTGTTGGCGAGAACATCTACTTTACTGGAGTTAAAAGCTGCCCAGTATCAGTGCCCGATACTGCCAAATCCTTTTACTGTGGCCTTCACCTTCACCAGGGATGTGGCTAGCACTGCACGAGAAGATGCGGCTGTCTCTTGAACAGGAGGAGCAGAGAGCCTTAAGATTCTGCATGTTTACATAAGCATAGCCCTAGAATGGTCTGTTTCACTCATTTACCCACTCAGCATTTCCAGAGTGGTGTGCTTCTATGTGAAACACATTGTCAGGTACAGGGAAACTGAGATGTGTGTAACACAAGCTTCTGCCCATAACTGACTTTCAATTACAGAAACCTAAAAACTCAAAACCAAGACTGGATGAGAAGTGCTCATATGGGTGCTATAGGAGCTAGAAGAGCTTCTAAATTGAGTTGGGTGCCTGGTCAAGGCTTCCCTTGAGAAAGAGCCAGAGAAGGGTGTTAGAGACATGGCATCCAGCGAGGAGTGGAGGGAGATGACCCAAAATGGATGTCTGCTGCTTTTTCATGTATCATTTTAATGTGTTATTTCCCATTGTTCCAAATTCCTATAAAAGTGCATTGCTATTTAAATATTGTAACGGTACCTTGTTAAGTTCTTCTGCTTGTGGGATACTCTAGAGTCTACCTAGTCCTTACCCATTTGCTCAATGTAAAATAGTTTAATGCATTTTTTATGCCGACATCCTGGTTTGTTGTAGAAAGTGGTCTGTTTTTAGGCTAAAGAGAAATTTAAACTCACTTCTCTCAAAAAGAACTCTGGAGATAAGTTCATATAAAACATTATCTTCAACAGCTCCCACTGTTTATATGATTTGATGCCCCACTGAGCCGCCACAGGAAGCTTCAAACACATCTTGGCTCACACTTTCTCAGACCAAGGTTACTTGTCTTCTGATGAGACTCCCCAAGGTTTCAGTACTTAGGAAAAGCTCGTTTAGAGAAACAAGTAGAGAGGATTGCCTGAAGTTTATGCAGCCCCTTTTTCTTCTTAGAAATTCCAGGCATTTATCTATCCTTGGATTAAGCCAGATCACCAAAATGAGGAATTCTTGACTGACCTCATCCTGACCCCTCAGGAAACAGAGTGAAGTGCTTACTGTCTTCTACCAGAGCCTCCAGCCCCAGCCTCCTCTGAGTGATGTTGTAACACTCAGCCCTACAAAACTCCCTGTTGTATAGCTGATGTCTTCACTCAGTCACTAAACACAGGGCCCTCTTTACAAAGACCTATAGGAGAAATGACTCCTTGGTCTCAGTGCCAGGAACAATTGTTCTCATCCAAGCAATGAGTTTGCTGTGAGCTTTATGCTACATAAACCACCAACCTGATCTCTGTTGCTAGGAAACTGAGAGACAGGGCAGCAGGCTTGCCTCTGGCACGGGTACCAAACTTCTCAACTTTAATTTCTTTGTTAGCCCCACTTCCATCTTTACCTTATTTTGTAAGCTCTTGTTTTTCTTCTCATTTCCTCTCCTATTTTAGGCTATTGAATTACCTGAGTTTTTGTAAGCTACTGAAATTCTTCAAGGAATAAATTTGGGGTATAAACATGAATTAAGTATCCTTAGTTACTCTGTTTAGAGGACAAAACATATACAAATTACTAGTTTTCACATAACAACTATACTCAATAGAGCTGGCATTAAAACTGCTACTCTTGTGAATATGACTGAACTATACATTCTGTGTCAGGGGTCTTGACTAACTTGGTCACCTCTGTATCTCAGTTGCTAGTGCTGTGCTTGGTATGTAGCAGATGCTCAGTACATATTTCCTCAGCAATTTGAACAAACAGTCTTTCAGTAACTAAAGTCTACCAGTGGTACAGTCTGTGGCTGCTCAGAAGCAAAGTGAAGGCCTAATGCTCTGGTGTTTCCTCTACCTTTTTTGGACACGGGTTGGGGTGTAGGACACTGCTGACCCCCCCTGATGCTCTCCTGTCTCTGTCTCTGCAGACTCACATTTCAAGACTCCCTCCCGGTGCGGTGGCAGGACAGTCCGTGGCAATCGAAGGTGGGGTGTGCCGCCTGGAGAGCCCAGTGAACTGACCCTTCAGGCTGAGCGTGAAGCGTCTGAGAGGCGTTTCAGAACCTGAGCTTTTTGGGATTTTTAACTGAAGTTGGCTGTTTTATCTTCCTTGTTTTATAATTCCTATTGCAACCTCGTGCACTGCTCGAGACACAAGTGCTGCTGTAGTTAGCGCTTAGTGACACGCGGGCCTTTGGCGGGTGAGTGGGACTGTGTGTGTGTGCGCGCACGCGCGTGTGCGCACATGTGTGCGTGTGTGTATGTGTGGAGTATGTGTGTTTGCTTCTCCCTGGATGAAATAGAAACTCCTCATTGTGTGACCAGGAATGGTTAAATCATCTTTACAAAATGTGTGCTTTAACTGTTTACAAGTAAAACCTAAAGTTGCAGGAAACATTTTTTATTTCATAAAGAGGTACCAACTGTCGCTGATGTAATGTGTCAGAACTGAAGAGTAAACCTACTTGTTTAAATGACTTGACAGTGGTAGTGCTTCATTTAATAACAGTGATAAGTAATAAAATGTTTTTATTTGTTAACCAGTTTAAGTGGATCCTGTGGTAACTTAAACTGTTGTTCTCATCCCTTATACGGGGCATTTTTCTTTAACAAAGAATGGTTTCAGTGAAACAATCTAGCAGAGAATTAATGTCAGAACCTTTTTAAATAATAGTCTGATTGATACAGTTTGTACTTCTTTCATCAAGCTTTTCTAAGCTTAAATATTGCATAGCCTTGAGCTGTGTGGACTATATTATGAAAGAATATGTAAAGAGAACATACAGTAATGCACAGTCCTTAATTTGTGTATAATGGAATGTTATTTACAATATAACACTGTAAATAAGAAAGCAAAGTTTATGGGAAAATTCAATATTATCTTTGTTTTTGTTTAAATATATTTTTAAGATAAAGGCACAAAAATAAAAGAAGTGTATTACTGGGTATAGTATGTGACTCCTCTTCTCAGACTAATAAATTATCTTTTGAATCCTTGATTGGACAGTTGTTATATATTTTGTTTATAAAATGTTCTCCCGGAAATCATACCATTATTCATCTTGCTGTTATTCTAATTGTTCCAAGGCCAGTCTTACGCAGTTAAAGAAGACACTGGCAAGATGAAAGTTGAACTTAGTACATGACTGAATGGTCAATATGGAAGTCCAAAAATTTCTGTTGCAATTTGATAAAAATAACAAAGAGAAGGAATAAGAACACTTTGCTTTGAAAAATTGTAGTGGCAGCTAAAAGCTCGATAGTTTCAGTTGATAAATTACTTCTAAATGTTATATTCAGGGATTCTGGAGCCACGTAAGAAAACCAAGACTTTCCTTTTGATTTTTTTTTTTTTTTTTAAATGTAAGAAGTGGTTATCAAGAAGATACTAAAGATAGACTCGCTCAAGGGGAGGAAGTTCCCTGCACCATGTAATCATGGCTCTGGGCGGTAACTGATAAAGCCCAGATAAAATTATACACTTGACATCAATGTATGGCCAAATTATAAAGGAAAGACAACCAAAATGGAGTGGGTGTAAATATGAATAATTTGAGAGTTGCCGATTTGTATTCCTGGTATAGGCAATTACATTTGTCTTGCTGTGCTCTCATAGACAGGTTGGTGCCATGGTATCTGTTTCTCATTCTTAATCAGGCTGAGAACTTAGTGAGAGATGGGCTGGCTGGTGGGGAGCCTTTGGCTTCAAAAGCTTTCGAAGACCTGTTACCTGTTGGCAGAGATTTTTCAGGAACTGGATTGGATCACATAAAACTATCAGGACACTTTGGAGTCTGAAAATCGTCTGACCAATTTGACCAGGAATGCCACTTCTTTCATCTCCTTTTGCCTTTTCTCCATTTATATTTAAAAGTCTGAGCTTGTTAAGGACCCCTTTTATTAAGAGTTTAAAAATTGGCCAGTATAAAAGAGTACAGCCTCTCCAAGAACAGTCTGTCAAGACTTTACTCTCCAATTTTCTAAACTTTTTTAAAGGAATATTGTGAAGCCAAGAGGGGGAACATAGTGATATTCAGAATCATGGAGGCAAAAATGTAACAGGTAATATAAGTTCCTTCCTTATCAGATCAGATATTAAAGATCAGCTACTGGAACCAGAGAATACTGAGAGATGTAAAGTCAACTTCATTTCACACTAGAGTAGAAAAGGTAGAAACAGATAGGGAAATAACCTCATTCTCTAGTCTGGCGTATGTCACCAAGAACCTGAAGCTGTGTATTAAGTTGCCCACTTTTAACATGGATACTTTTAACTGTGGGCCTATATTTGATTTCTTTGTAAGGTCTGAGTGCTGGATATCTGGTTCTCTTGAGTACAATTAAGCCTAGTCTGGATTCCTCAAGGTGGTCACTGACCTAGTTCTGGGTTTGGAAACAGGGGCATCTCCAGGGCTTGGTGAGGAGGCAAGAGCATGTGGTTTTACTTAAGGCACCTGGAGTACCTGTGCTGATTGGGCTGTCTTGTCAGCTCTGCCACTGCTTTCTCTGCCTTTAGTATGTCTGCCTATGGCAGGCCCTTTCTTACCTTCTAATTACCACTTCTGAATGTGAACTTGATGTGGAGAAAGGAAAACACTTATACTCTGCTGGTGGCAATGTAAATTATGTCAGCTACTGTGGAAAGCAGCCTGGAGATTTCTCAAAGAACTTAAAATGGAACTACCATTCAACCCAACAATCCCGTTACTAGGTATATACCTAAAGAAATGTAAGTCATTCTCCTGTAAAGACAATGCATGCATATGTTCATTGCAGCACTGTTCACAATAGCAAAGACATGGAATCAACCCAGATGTCCATCAGCAGTGAACTAGATAAAGAAAATGCGGTACATATACACCATGGAATACTATGCAACCATAAAAAAGAATGAAATCAGCTGGGCACGTTGGCCCACGACTGTAATCCCAGCACTTTGGGAGGCCAAGGCGGGCAGATCACCTGAGGTCAGGAGTTTGAGACCAGCCTGGCCAACATGGTGAAACCCCATCTCTACTAAAAAATACAAAAATTAAGCTGGACGTGGTGGTGGGTGCCTGTAATCCTAGCTAATTGGGAGGCTGAGGCAAGAGAATCACTTGAACCTGGGAGGCAGAGGTTGCAGTGAGCCAAGATCATGCCATTGCACTCCAGCCTAGGTGACTGAGTGAAACTCCATCTCCAAAAAAAAAAAAAAAAAAGAATGAAATCATGTCCTCTGTGGCAACATGAATGGAGCTGGAGGCCATTATCCTAAGCAGAGAATCAAATACTGCATATTCTCACTTATAAGTGGGAGCTAAACTAAAAACTGAGTTCACGTGGGCTCAAGGAAGGGAACAATTGACACCAAGGCCTACCTGAGGGTGGAGGGTGAGAAGAGGGTAAGAATTGAAAAACCACCTATCGGGTCCTATGCTGATTAACTGGGTGATAAAATTATCTGTAAACCAAACCCCCACAACACTCTACCCATGTAACAAACCTGCACACGTACACCCTGAACCTAAAATAGAAGTTGGAAAGACAGAAAATTAATGTGAAATTGAATTTGGATATCAATATCCATTAGAAGTTTTTACAAAGTGTGTACAAATAAGTCCTGGATGCTAGTCTGAGGGGCTTGTCTGTGAGCAAAGTGAATGAATTTTGGTTGATGGATATGAGGACATCTCTCGACGCTACTCAAAAGCCTTTTTTGCATAATTCCCTGTTTTCTGCCACATTTGAGAGTGGTAATTTTTTTTTTTTTTTTTTTTTGAGACTTTGAGATGAAGTCTCGCTCTGTCGCCCAGGCTGGAGTGCAGTGGCCGGATCTCAGCTCACTGCAAGCTCCGCCTCCCGGGTTCACGCCATTCTCCTGCCTCAGCCTCCAAGTAGCTGGGACTACAGGCGCGCACCACCACGCCCGGCTAATTTTTTGTATTTTTAGTAGAGACAGGGTTTCACCGTGTTAGCCAGGATGGTCTCGATCTCCTGACCTCGTGATCTGCCCGCCTCGGCCTCCCAAAGTGCTGGGATTACAGGCGTGAGTCACCGCGCCCAGCGAGAGTGGTAATATTGCCAGTGACCTGCAGACGAGTGAGGTCACTCTGTTTTAACACTGGATGGAAGGAGGGAAGAAGGCAGGGAGGGAGTGAAGAACAGAAGATTTAGAAAAGAGCATCATTCTGGAATCTTGAGATTGTGTTAATAATTGTGGGATCTTTCATTTTTTGACTTGGCTATTTTTATTACAAAGGTAGTCTGTGCTTATTGGGAAAAAAATTAGAAAATAGATAAGGAAAATTTTTAAAATTTAAATTTTAAATAAAAATTTAGCTCATAATCCTACTTCCCTGGAGGCAACCCTTAATAAACACCCTACAGATAGATTCTTTTTATGCATGAATTTTCTATGTACGTTTAACACAAAAAAAGGGCGCTATATTGAACTCCCAATGGGGTTCTATAGCCTGCAGTTTTCATTTAATAATATCACAAAAAGATGATCAGACCTACAAGTTTACACAATCCCTCATTTACTGCTTCCCCATACAATGCTGGCTCAGCCTAACGATGCTCAGTATATATATTTGTATCCTTAAACTTTTGGGGAAATCTATGACAGCACTGAGCAGAATAACCGATGTCCGTATTTTCAGGCTACAGGTGCATACAACAAGCACTGTGGTAAGGTCTCAACCAATGAAAGCCAGCCCGGAAGGCATCCTAGAGCACGCCATGGTCATTGCTCTTGGACCTCACTGTTTCAGTATCCCCCACACAACTTCGTCAGGCCTTTTCCAGAATGATGGAAAGCTGTTCTGTCTCTGGGTGCTGCAGGCCACAAATGCCAGGGAATCAGTACTCCCTAGAAGTTGGTGTGTAAATTGGCCAGCTCCTTGCTCCTTGGGTGCAATAATACCGAATATGTGTTTTGCAGTTTTTGACAGAGTTCCCCCAGGAATTAAGCTTCAGTTTCCCCCTCTGGTAGTTGACTTAGTACACCTTGCGTTGGCTTTCTTCCCTTTTCTGGTTCCTTCTCGACTCTCCTACCTGGGTTTACTGAAATCATCTCCCAAATGAACTACTTAGAGTCAACTCCTTATCTCAGGGTTGCTTCTGGAGGACTTCAAACTGAAACGCACTCCACTCCACATGTATCTTGGCCACTAGGGTTTTTAGGCCCTCCACTGAGGGTGGACTCACCTGTCTGTTTATGCCCCTCACTCTTCCTGACATCTGCTCCTGCTCAACCATTTTCATCCATAACATCGGAGGTACATTCTCCGAGTGATAAGGCTGGTTTTGCCACAAAAGTTTGTGAAGAGTTTGCAACTAAGTCAGTGTTAACAGGCACCAGACTGCTGGAGACAGACAAACACTTTTAAGGATATGGTGAAGTAAACAGAAGCTAAAGAGCGACAGTTCTTCAAGGACTGGTGGATGCCTGCAAGGAAATGACCTGGAATTGAGTTAACCGTAGTTGGAAGAAGCTTTAGCCAAAGGCATTTCATGACTTTAAGAAATTCGAAGAGGCCAGAATAGTTCCTGTGTCACAAACACATTTTCACGATGTGCATTCCTTGGCAGCCTCACACAACACCCGTTTCCAAAAGGGCATCTCTCAAGTCTGGCTGTTCATAACATAATTTCTTTTTTTTTTTTTTTTTGAGACGGAGTCTCGCTCTGTCGCCCAGGCCGGAGTGCAGTGGCCGGATCTCAGCTCACTGCAAGCTCCACCTCCCGGGTTCATGCCATTCTCCTGCCTCAGCCTCCCGAGTAGCTGGGACTACAGGCGCCCACCACCTTGCCCGGCTAGATTTTTGTATTTTTTAGTAGAGACGGGGTTTCACCGTGTTAGCCACGATGGTCTTGATCTCCTGACCTCGTGATCCGCCCATCTTGGCCTCCCAAAGTGCTGGGATTACAGGCTTGAGCCACTGCGCCCGGCCTCATAACATAATTTCATGGTAAATTTTTTTAAATGTCTTCCAAAATTTTTCTTAAAACTAAATG